ACATACAGTCAATGATATTGTAAGAGCATCGTATAGTGAAGGATGGCAGCTACATTTGTGAGCACAGCATAAAGTACAGAGTTGTCTAATCACTATGCTGCACACCTGAAAATGGCGTAACTGTGTGTCCACTAAAAAGTATTTTTTAATAAATAAATGATTTTTAAAAATCATTCCATTTCCAGAAAAAAAAAAAAAAAAGATGCACGATACCCTTACCCAGCAATGCCATTTGTGGGAGTGTCCCACAGTTGTATTCAGCAGTGACCCACGAGGGCAGTGGCAGAAATAGTCACAGATTACTGGTCCATTAGCAGGAACTGGGTGGCCCTGTTCCCGTCCACAGGTGCAGTGGCCACCGTGCACCGTAGTAAAGCGTACTTTACTCAGTGACTCAGTGAGCTCATACATGCATTGTGCTCAGAGCTGGGCGTGGCTCATCAGAAGCATATTATACAGGGGCACCGGGGTGGTTCAGTTGGTTAAGCGTCCGACTTTGGCTCAGGTCATGATCTCATGGTCCATGATGAGTTCAAGCCCCGCATCAGGCTCTCCGCTGTCAGCGCAGAGCCCGCTTCGGATTCTCTGTCCCTCTCTTTCTCTGCCCCTTCCACACTTGCATTTGATCTCTATCTCCCTCTCTCAAAAATAAGCATTAAAAAAAAAACTTAAGAGAAAAGAAGCATACTATATAACTCAGCTGCCCCAGTTCTTAAAAAAAAAAAAAGTTCTCTAATGAAATGACCATGTATCAAAATACTTCTCAATAACTAGTGTCTCCCTGACACCAGTGCCTCCTGGTCCATCACACCAACCTTTTCACCAGTTACCACTTCACTGCTATTTTCTTATTCAAATACAACTACAAATCTCTCCAAAGATGCAGGATGCCACAAAATAATGGCAGCAGATGCCTTTGATCCACGGTCAGGTCTGCAGACTTGTTTAGAAACCTGTATGACAGTGATTTCACTGTTTGAAGCCCTTAGGGCAGGATTCATCGAATGGAATATACAATGATACTGTCAAAGTTCAGTCACAGATGGTCTGAAACCTATTTGGTGTTAGACGCATTGAAGCAAGCCCAGGCAGAGCTCGCAGCTCATCAGGAAAAAAATTCTCCATGCTAACAACCTCATTGGTATCTCAATTTGGGGACTTAATGCTGATGCTCGACAACTGTGTGATTTTACGCAGCTGGGGTGTCTGGATTCCAGATGTGTATTTGACTGACCTCTCCCTGTGTCTTGTCTTGTATCTGTAACTGGAAGCAAGGCCCAGATACCAAAACAACGTAGCCTGAGACCTTATGGTGCTGGACAACTTATTGCAGGTTATGATCATATGGGTCTTCACTTTTTCTAAACAGACTGAGCCTCCCAAGCACCTCAAAAAAGATTTTATTTCTAAGTAATCTCTACACTCAATGTGGAGCTCAGACGTACAACCCTGAGATCAAGAATTGGGGTGCCGTCCAGGCACCCCAATAATCTATACTTTGAACCCAAAGATACAGGGTGGTGAAAAGTACGTTTTAAGAATCAGTACAGATGTGAATTTTTTCTCATGCAACCTCACTGAAACCATATAATGGGGTACGTTTTTCTTTGAGCAAGTCTATACGATCGATCATTTTCTAGAAAGTATCTCTGTCTGTACTAATGTAAAAATAAATGAATAGGGATGCCTGGATGGCTCCGTCTGTTAAGTGTCCGAATCTTAATTTTGGCTCAGGTCATGATCTCATAGTGGGTGGGTTTGAGACCTACATCGGGCTCTGTGCTGACTGTGCGGAGCCTGCTTGGGATTCTCTCTTCCTCTCTCTCTGTCCCTCCCCCCGCTCCCTCTCTTTTAAAAATGAATAAATAAACATTAAATATTTTATCTATCTATCTATCTATCTATCTATCTATCTATCATCTATCTATTTAAAATACCATACTGGCAAGGCTTGGGATCTCTCTACTATGGGCTAGATATTTGAATTCCCTTCTCCAAATTTATATGATGCAATCCTACCCCCCAAGGTGATGGTATGAGTCCCTTGTGAATGAGATTACTGACCTTATAAGAGAGATTCCAGGGAACTCTTTAGCCCCTTCTACCACATGAGGACATGGAAAGAAGACAGCCATTTATGAACCAGGAAGCAGGCTCTCATCAAATACTGTATCTACGGGCATCTTGATATTGTGCTTCCCAAACTCCAGAAGTGTTGAGAAATAAATGTTTGTCACTTAAGTCACACTGCCCAAGGTTCACAGGGAGGAGGCATGAAGTGGTGGTTATGTTCTGACATGACTGACTTCCCTCTGGGTAAGGAAGGCTGCCAGGCACAGATGGAAAAGATCCCCAAAGTTCTGGACTCCAAGAAGGTGGGGGTGAGGAGGGGGACTTTAGGAGGAGGAGGAGGGGGACCTTGGGAGGATCAGGGCCTTGGAGAAGTACTGCTGAGTCTGGCTTGGAGGAGATGCCATTCCACCTGGTGAAGATGTGATGGGGCAGCTGGCCTGGGACACCAGATGCAGGTAGCGTGCCAGGTTCATGGTGGGGCAGGACACTGTGACTAGCATGGAGGTCTGAGGGCAAGCATGACTGGGGCCAATGAGAGGCCACCTCATTCCCACTGGGGATTCACCAGGAGGGCAGCTGGAGGCTGACTCTTTCACCACCTGGCAGAACACACCAAAATCAGGGTGTAGGAAACCAACAAATCAAAACTGAAAAATAGCCACAAGCCCCAGGATTAGGAGACAGTTCCAGAGAATAAAGAAGAAGTGCCAAACCATCAGCTTTCTTGGGTACTGATCTGGGCCAGGAGACTCATGGCCGAATTTTGAACATCCTGGAGCAGGCAGCCAACAAAACAGTCCTGCAACCCCCACCAGAACTCTACTCATATATGCTATTTTGTATTTCCAGGATCTCCTGAGGAGTCTGGAAGAGGGACTGATGGTTGGACACATGGTGGATTTGAAGACAGAAGTCTCCCACCTGGCCCGGGGCTTTGTTTCAAGCCACCCTTCCATCACTGTCAGGGATCTCATCACAGTTAGTTGGGGGTGGTGACACCTGGGGTTGAGCCCATTGCTTCTTACCCAGTATTCTAGATGTTAGTATGGTCCTGGGTCAATGTCTTCATATCTTCTGTTTGGTTGAACTCCCTCCCGAAAAGCACACCTTGCTTTTGTTAGGTAGCTCAGGAGAGGTGCACAGCTGGCATTTTCTATCTTCCCACAAGAGTGCTATTTTGGTTGGGTATAAAATCTTATGTGGAGAAACCCATTTTCCTCAGAATCGTTTTTCTCTTCTAGCACTCCTATTCAAATAAATGAAGACATTTTGATGCCCAGGCAGAAATGGCCACAGGGATGCAATTGACCACCAACTTCTCCAAGAACAGAGGTTTTTAGATCATGCCCTACACCACGGGGTATTAGACACAGGATTAAGCCCTGCCCTTAAAACACTGATACCATGAACTGAGTAGGAGGCTAGAGGAGGTCAAAGGTTCCGGACACCGTCAACATCCTCACACCAACAGGTCTTTGCTCTGGGGGCAGTGATTCTCCCATAACTGCAGTTGAACTCAGTTTGCAGTTTTCCAACACAACACTCTTAGGACCATTGTTTTCATTCACCCTGAGAGATACCAGAACCCTCTTCCATCAGTCCCTTTTCCAAGGTCTGATCTCAGTCCTATGGGGCCATCTTTGGGGTTCTGGAGGCAGCAACACTCTCCTCACAGACCTAAGTTCTACTTCTCCTTCAGCACCTGGATTTTAATACTTCCAATTTCCTCCCTTGGTCCCCCAGCCCTAGGGTTATTGGCTGTCTCTGGGATAATCTGGGTTTTCTTTGCCAGTGGAGTTCTATCATGCCTGGTGACCAATTCTTTCTATTACATTCTCTCTGCTAAAATTACTGATGTGGGCTTGGTCATACAAATAAACCCAGTTGATATACACGGTAGCTTATGCAACAATCTATAACCCCATAGTTTGCTGTTATGCTCAAACTGCTGGAAGACAGGAGTGCTAGTTGTCTTTTAAGTTTCCCAGACTTCAAAAATCATTACCATATCCCATGAAACACCATCTATATCCCTTAGTAGTTTTCAATTCGCATTGATTTCTTAATATTTTGTTGTCCTGGTACCAATGCTATATTGACTTGTTATCTGTGAGGTTACTTTGGTTAACTGTGATGAGGGTTATTGGAACATACTTTTATTCCATACATATAATACAACAGTGTAATAAAACCAATAAGTCTAGGACCTGGGTGGCTCAGTTGGTTAAGCATCCAACTCTTGGTCTCAGCTCAGATCTTGATCTCAAGGTCATGAGTTCAAGTCCCAAGTTGGGCTCCACACTGGGCATAGAGCCTACTTAAAAAATAAAAAATAAAAAATAAAAAATAAAAAATAGTTCTTGGTTCTTTATTCAAGTTGGAATCTTCATTATTTAAAAAAAAATTTTTTTTTAATCTTTATTTTTGAGAGAGAGACAGAGTGTGAGTAGGGGAGGAAGAGAGAGAGAGAGAGAGACACAGAATCCGAAGCAGGCTCCAGGCTCTGAGCTGTCAGCAGAGAGCCCGACACAGGGCCCAAACCTACGAACCATGAGATCATGACCTGAGCCGAAGTCGGACGCTCAATCGACTGAGCCACCCAGGTGCCCCCAGGAGTCTTCATTATTTTTAAAAGACCAATGACATTTGCTGATTTTTAGTTGATTTGTTTTTCTTCATGTTATTGAATTTTCAGAGCTTTTCACATATGGTAGATTTTAGTCTTCTATTGATTATTGTATCTGCTGCCCTGAGAAGAAGCACTACCAAGGACATAAGGTATCCTGCCTGTGCAGAGCTCCTCCTGGGGTCAGAAACAAGACACTGAGGCAAGATGGAAAAGATGAAAAAGGACAAGTAAGAAACTAAGAATGAATCTTTATTGCTAATCTCCTGGCCTCCAACCATCAGTCCCTATTCCAGATTCCTCAGGGGATCCTAGAAATATAAAATAGCATATAGGGGGAGAGTTCTGGTGGAGGCTGCGGGACTGTTTTGTTAGCCGTCTGCTCTAGGATGTTCAAGATGGGGCCATGGGTCTCCTGGCACAGATCAGTACCCAGGAAAGCCTCTACTCAGTCACGCCATGCTGCCAGTTTCAGCTGTCCCTCAAATAGGTCACAGCCAAGAGCCACAGGCTGTGGGGACAAGGATGGGAAAGTTAAAGTGATACTGAGGCCTCAATGTCAGGCCCCTTCCCCAAACCCCACGTAAGGCCCAGGGCAGTGGGCCAACATTAGGGCCCAAGAGCACCAGCATGAAATACACACAGGAGGGGAGCAGGAGGTCAGGGCTCCATCACTAGTTCAAAGAGAAACTTGCTCTGTGATTCTGGGCAAATTCCTAGCTTTCTGTAGGCCTCAGTGTTTCTGTCTGTGTAATGGGCATGGTGATAGGAGGAATGCTGCCCACAGATAATCCTCCTCTGGCCAAGCTGGTACCTGCACCAGCTCCTCCAGCACCATGAGGTCAGCCAGCGTCACCTGCTGGCTGTTGAGGAAAGCCCAGCTCCCCAGGAACTTGTTCTCCAGCCACTGCAGTGCCCTGTCCGTGGCGGCCCTGTTGCGCTCCACCTTCTCCTCAGTCACATGGACCCCAATGAGTGGTGCCAACACCTAATGGGGGCAAAGGGTGGGCTCAGGCTGTGGTCCCTGCCTCCTCCCGGGTCCCTGACAGTCAACAATCCCCAGATGGCTCTCCTCACCTGGGTCCACAAGGGCACGCCAAAGGTACCATGGATGCAGTCAGCATGCCAGCCCAGGTACTTGTGGGCATGAAAACGGGCCCAAAGTTCAGATGGGTACCAGTGGTCTGCCGTCTGGTACTTAAAGCTTAAGTAAATCAAGATGGCGGTGCTGGAGATAAGGGCAAGAGCAGCAACTGTGATGACCCCGGTTCGTGGCCTTTACCTCAGCTGCTCCCATCCCTCAGTGGGGTTCTGGGGCTTCTCTGTACTTGCTGGCCTGGCCTACCTGCAGCTCCCTGGGCATTGCCTCCTCTCTCTCCCCTGACTCTACCCTCCAGATTTCCCTCGTTCCTTTGCTATCTCAAGCAAGGAATCTTGGCCAAACCTGCTGCTTTGAGCATCAAGAGCCTTCTCTCTGTGATATCACAGCAGCGGCTCTCTGAGCTAGAGACCTGTCATCCCATTTATGCATGAGGAAACAAAGGTTCAGAATAGTGACTTGTGCAAGGCCTCACAGCCCAGAAAAGACTCTCTGGGCCTCTGGAATCTTGTATCAAGTCTAAGTGCATGGGTCAGAGGCCAAGAGGGGAAACATGTCCTCAGATCTGCCATGGGTCCCTTCTGACAGGGTCCTGTGGCCATCACTCCTGCAGCCACCTGACTTCTTGTCCTCTATCTGCCTGGTGGCTGGCCCTCACCATGGGTCGTGCCCTCAAGTCCTGGCAGACCCTGGAGGGTAGCCTGAGGAGTCAGAAGAGGCCCTTTTGGCTTCCATTTGTTGAACCTGCTCTCTGTGCAACACTGGATAAAAGTTCCCATGTTCTCTTTTAAATTTTTTTAATGTTTATTCATTTTTGAGAGAGGGAGAGAGAGAGAGTGAGCATGAGCAGGGGAGGGGCAGAAAGAGAGGGAGACAGGATCTGGAGCGGGCTGCGTGCTGACAACACCAGAGCCAGACGCGTGGCTTGAACTCACGAACCGTGAGATCATGACCTGAGCCAAAGTCAGACGCTTAACCAACTGAGCCACCTGGGTGCCCCCACATGTTCTCTTCTAGTAACCCTCAGTCTGGGGGAGGAGAGACTCTGCGGTCCAGAAGGGAGAAGGAAGGCAAAAGAGGTACAGAGGCATGTTGTATCAGCCCCCCCCCCCAGTCATCCTGATCACCTCCCTCCCCAGCTGTCAGGTCTCACCACACCCCTCACCTTCACCCCCACCTGCCCCCTGTGGTCTGAGAGGGCACACAGTGGGAGAGCCAGAGGCCAGGTGGGCTGGGGGCTTAGGAGGAAGGAGGGAAGATGAACACCTTTCAGTCAAGACGAAGTCACCATCCTTGAGGGTGGATACCTTCTGCAGGATGTTAAACTGGGAGAACTCCCCGCTCACGAGGTGCCCAGTAGAGGAAAAGCCCTTCGGAGCAAGAACCACACCAGCTGTGCCCTCCCTCTCCCGTCCCCAGCCAGAACCCCAGGGGCCAGGCTGGGCTAAGAAACAGCTGGGTCTGTGGGGAGGGCTGTGTGGGGCCATGGCAGGGCCATGGCTGGGCCTTGAGACCAGGAATGAGGATGGCCTCCTTGCCCTGCCACCTCCCAGGGTGGCTGAGGGGTTTCAGCGGGTGCAGTCAGGTGCTCCAGATGGATGAAGAGGAGTTATTTGGCCAGAACTAGGGTGGGGTGGGGGAAGGGAGGCAAAGAGGGAGGCTCAGCAACTCTTACCTCTAAATTCTCACATTGTGGCCATGTCCCCAGGGTCTTTAGGGTTTTATGACTTTAAACATAGGCTTTCAAGGCAGGAACTCTGAAAATCCAGTTCAGTAGTTTCTTCCCGTCACACAATGTGGAAATAACATTATCCTCCTTTTCAGAGGGGAAAGCCAAGGTTCAGAGGGCCTGTGACCTGTCCAAGGCCACACAGCAGAGGGCAGTCTCTGGTGGGAGACACAGATGAGAACAAAGGCAAAAGAAATGTAGATAAAATGAAATTTACTTCCAACTTGCAGCCCTTTGATAAATACCAGAGACGGAGACAGTGTGACTTTCCTCAAAGAATTCACAACTGCCTTAATGTTAATGTTTTGCCAGAGGCAAAAAGCAACATTAGCTTGATAATAGCCAGACCTCCAGGATCCTGTAATTCTTCTGTAACACACAGAAATCCCTTTAAAGACTTCCTTTGTCTCTACCTGCCTCTCCCCCACCCAATTCCTAAATACCTAATCAGTTGCACCTCATGATCCCAGGGCAACTCTTTCTCCCTCCAGTCTTGTCTCCTGTCTCCATGCTATAATAAAAGGATCTTTTTGCACCCAAAACGTCTCAAGAATTCTTTCTTCACTGTTCCCTCACTGGCCTAAAATTATTTTTGGCGCCTAACGTGGGGCTATTCCTCTTGTCTGGACTCTGAGCCTTGGTGCAAACTTGGTGAGTTATTCCCTCTTCTTTTATTTCAGAGGCTTTTCAAGAATGTGGTCTTATTGGAACACTTTCATGTCAATTTCTCAGGCTACAATTTTCTAGCCCGTGGCTATGTTACAGAGAGGAACCTGCCTTTTGGCTGGAAGTTAGTACTTTGATCAGAATGGTAATAAGACGCAGAAACTTGGTGCTCTCTCTGTATTCTTATTCTTACACAGAGTTGCCTTTCTTGAGCACGGGACAGCCACCTAAGTCACTGGGACAGCTGCCAATTGTAAGACTCCCATGTGAGGTTTCCTCTTCATTGGTCCAATTGTGATCCCCTCCACATCTCTGGTCTAGCTCTTCTACCTGAGAGACCTCCACTCAGAGCCAGCTAAAACCAAAACCTGATTGAATTAAAACCCAACTGGGACCGTTTCCTAGGGAAATTGGCTATAAAGACTACATGTGTTGAAATGTCCCTTAGACCACGATGGATTTCCATCTTTACTATTGTTCATCAATGTCCTCTACTGACTACTTAAATTGTAACGTTAGGTATTTCCCCTCGTGCAAATTCTTAGCATTTCCACGGGTTAAAACAGCAGGGTCTCTTGCTCCATCTACGGGCACCTATTGTGTCTGGGAAAAACAATAAGGAAGCAAAGGGATGTCGACATCCCTTCAGGAAAAAAGTCAGTACTCAATATGGCTCTTTGAGGGATGCCTCTTGTCACTTTGAACACTAGAAACCCTTGATATGATCCTGAGTGGGATGCCACCCAGGAGTCAGGGGGGTATGGTAATGGACTTTTCCACTTTTATAGGACCATGGGATCTTCCTCTTCAGTCCCTAAGGACTCCCTGTTGGGGCATCTCTTAACCCATTGGAACCAATTTGGATTGCAAGATTTAAAGAAGACTCATCTTCTGTAATAATGCATGGGCTCATTACTCCCTAAGAGACGAGGAAAAATGGTCCATTAATGCAACAATAAACTGAAATACTATACGCCAACTAGATATCTTCTGCAGGAAACAAGGCAAATGGACCAAAGTGCCCTATGTCCGGGCCTTCATGACCTTAAATCAAGATCGTGACATAAGGGCTTCTTACAGAATGTGTTTAGCCACCAAGCAGGTTAATAAACCCCCTCTGGACATATTGGATGATGATTGTCTAAATAGGTCCCCTCCTTCTAACAAACCTGGGCTACCCGAGGAATCATCATCCAGTTCAAAGGGGACATTGACTCTGTTACTATCCCTCCTATAAGCTCCAAGACTCTTCTGCTCCCAACCCAGCTGGGCATGCCAGGAGTGGAACCCCCATCTTCCAGGAGCTCCTCCAAAATCTGGACTATATCCCCCTCGGGAGGTTGCTAATGAAGAAGTGGGCACAATTAGAGTCCCTGTCCCATTCTCCATGGCAGACCTGGCTCAGATAAAACAATTAGGATGATATTCTGAAAACCATTGTCAATTTATTGAGGGTTTTCAACAGTTATCTATTATGTTTGATTTGACCTGTCAAGATATCCATGTTATATTAACTCGTTCTTGTACCCATGAGGAAAAGAACCCTATCTGGGCAGGGACTCAAGAATTTGCTGATGAACTAGCAGCCAGAGATAGAGATTGTTACACGGTAGGGGGCGCTGCTGTCCCAAATACTGAACCACATTGGAATTATGCAGGCAGGCAAAGGGAAAGAGGAAACCGTAAGATCGCCTTGTTTAATAGAAGGAATGAAAAAAGATTCTAAACCTGGAAGCTTTGTTAAAATTCAGAAAGTTCCTCAAGGAGCTGATGAAAATCTGATATGCCCCGATTCGAGAGACCCCCCCCAAAAACAAACCACCAGAGTCCAGAGTCAAAGCCAAGCGGCAAGGGTCATTTATTGCAGGTTCAAACCCGGTCCTCCGCTCACTCGTTGCCGGTGCCGCTAAGAGGCCCCCAGCGAGGATCTTACAGCTTCTTTTATAGACAGGCACAAACAAGTTAGAGATTTTTTTTGTGGTTACAGAGCTGTTATTGGTTGACATTTAAATTTGAACACTCAGCAGAACTTGATTGGTTCCCGCCTTT